TGTGTGTGTGTGTGTGTGTGTGTGTGTGTGTGTGTGAGTGTGCATGCGCATGAGTTCCAGGAATTGAACCCAGGGCCTTAATTACTGAGCTACATTTCCAGCCCTTTCTTGTATTTTATTTAGAGATAGGGTCTTACTGAGTTGCTTAGGGCCTCACTAAATTGCTGAGGCTGGCTTTGAACTCTTGATCCTCCTATCTTAGCCTCCTGAACCGCTGGGACTACTGACAAGCACCAGCATGAGGAAGCATTTCTAATGTTAAAAATCATTTAATTCAGCGGTAGAGCACTCGCGAGGCCCTGTGTTTGATCCTCAGCACCACATCAAAAAAGAAATAAATGAATAAAATAAAGATATTGTGCCCCCCCCAAAAAAAAAGGAAAAAAAAAAAGAAATTCAGACCAAGCTCCCTATGCATCACCTCTGGGTACTTGAGGTTCTGGAAGAATGTCTGGGAGCCACCAAAAATCATTTAATTCATTTGTGGTAAATTTAACACATAATGAGTTAAGTTTAGTAGATACAATCTGGAAAAGTTGTTTTCTACTTTCTATTTTGCTACAAGTACTACTTATTTTTCTTAGTTCTGGTCCATGGATTTGTGATTCCCTGAGCATATGTTAAAAGAGGTTTACCAATTAAATTTGAATTATTTCTAAATTTTCTTTGTCCATGCCCTTTGATTACCTAAGGGTAAAGTTATTTTTTAAAGCATCCTCTTGGACAGACAGATATCTGAGAATCAAACCAAACAAAATAATCATCCACTTTTACATCTGCAAAATTCAACATGGCAAAGAAAACACAAATGTTACTGAATAGCAAACAATGTCAGGAGTTTGAGAAATGCCTTAAATTTTTTTTACCTTATTTACCTTTAGAGTTTTAAACCACAAGCCTTCTTTTTTATTTATGTGTTTATAGTTCAGGAATACCTGGTTTGGTGGAAGAGTGTTAAAAGCAGAGTCAGAAGACTTGGGGAAAATTCTGATATTTGCTTAGACTTTTTAATTGTGCCCTCCTTTTCAGAATTGTGATTTAAAAATCATTGATGTATGTAGAAATGCTTAGTATGACTCCTAGATTTATGGGTTATCAATAGATATCATTTTAATAACTGACTAAAAAAAGGTAAGAAAAGCAGAATATGTGTAGAATATTTTCAGGACAGAGGAACTAAAATAACCTATGGAAATTCCATCTATCCAAATGTCTATGTGTTAAGTTAAGGTTCTTATTTTGAGTTGGCTGTATACATTAGGTATAAAAAAAAGTCTTAAATTTTTTAATGTGATCAAATTTATTAATCACTAACTCTATGCCTTGGTTCTGTTAGAATTCAGGGAAAGTCTTTAATTCCAAGATTCTTAAAAATTATGATTTTTTTTTTTTTGCTTACTCTCATAGATTTATTTTCTACAATGAAATTTTTAAATTTGGGGGAACTTTTGCTTTTAACATTCTCTGAAGTTTAGATCTAATTTTTCTCCAGCTGGATATCCATCTATTGCAATGCTTTCCTTGTACATATGTAAAGGTTATTCTTTTGATTTCAAAGGAAAATGGGATATGTCATTGAGTCCATGGCTAAATGTCTCTTTGGTTTTACTTAGGTTCCTACTAGAGATTGTACAAGAAAAGATCTACTGCATTTATACAACAGGTTGGAGGATGAAATCGCTCTGCTGAGAGTGGACATAGACACAGTAAGATGTCAGAGCCAGGATATGGAAAAGAAATACCTTGAAAATATTGAAATTGTAAAAGTAAAGAGTGATGACCTTCAAAGGGCAATTGAAGTGAATGAGGAAACAGAGAGAGAAATAACACTCCAGCGTAATGAACAGTTAAATAATCTGAAAGCTGAGATTGCAATGCTATCTCTTGAACTGGAGAATCTAAAACAAAACAAAGCAAGACTGGAAACAGAACTTGAACCCTACTGTACCAGATTGGATCTTGTTCCATCCCATCATTATGAAAATCAGATACCAAGAAGAGACCTAGAATTCAGTATCCAGGAAATAAGAAATGAGTACTTTAGTGCACATGCCAAGATGGATTTTGATATATGTAACCTCAAAATTAATAGTGTGATGGTTTCCCAACAGCTTTCTAAGAACAAGACAAAAATCTGTAGCCTAGAAAATGAGCTCTGTCATACAACTGATGCTCTTAAAGAAATGACTTTGGTTTTGGAAAATGTACAAAGAGACCTAAGTGAAACAAAGTGCCAAGTGAAGAAAATTGAACACATGTATCAAAATGAACAAAGTAAAGTGAATAAATACACTGAGAAGCAGGAGTCCACAGAGGAGCAATTATCTCAGCTACAAAACGAAAATACATTGCCTCAACAGCAATTGCATGACCTTCACAACAACACTGAAAATAAAGAAGAGACAGTAATTGATGTCCTACACAGATTTCATGACATTTTAAAAGTACTTCAAGATGAGAATAAAAAATACAATCTCATGCTGAAAAACAGAATTAAGGAACTAATTAACAGTTGTAACCATTTTGAAGAAAGACTGCAAAAAAGATATGGAAAGGAGAAAGCAGAAAGGGAGGTAAGGATCAAGCAAGATAAACATATGAATTGTCCTTCAGAGAAGATTCAAAGTAATATTTGATTATGGCTAATGTTGAATCTAGCTGTATATAAAAATAGATATATTATAAATGCATTAACTATATCAGCTCCAAAACTTAACCTCGCTTTCATTAAATTTGACTTAGACCTGATTCCCAGCACAAAGAAATAATCCATGTTTGTCGTGATGAGTCTGCCAATTCCCCTGTTCTGATCACTATATGTTGCATATGTTTTGAAATATTACACTGCACCTCATAAACAAGTACAAGTATGTACTAATTAAAAAAAAAAAAAGAGGAACTCAGAGTCACATAGAGAAGGTTGGACCTGAGAGAAGCTTTATTTGAGTAAAAGCATTGTGTCTTCTATGAAGTTTTAAGAGGTTACATTTCAAATTCTTAGTAGACTAATATTAATAATGTACTCTTTTTATTTGAATCCAGTTTAATGAAGCTTCTAGATCTACCAGTTTGCAGGGAAAACGGGCAATATAGGAATGTGTCCTACGAAGAGGATACAATCATCATTTTCAAAAAGTAAAGCAAATGATCCCGTTTCATTAACAAATAAGTGACATTTTAAAAAACGTGAACTGCTAATAGATCATAAGACACTTAAAGACAACACCAACCAAATATAATGTAGGGGTCTTCCTTTTTTGCCAAAAGTAAAAAGATCTACTGCATATATACAACAGGTTGGAGGATGAAATTGCTCTGCTGAGAGTGGACATAGACACAGTATGTCTATGCTGTGAGTCTAGAATCAAAAGTTTTCAACCAGGAATTCCCACACACCCTTCACATGTTGAGATCTTACCATGTTTCCTTTGTCACCCTCTCTTACACTGCTGGGAATGGAACTCAAGGCCTTGCATAGACTTAGCATGTGCTCTCCCCACTGAGAGACCTGTCCAGAACAAGAATTGTAATGTCTTCGTGATGCCATGCTTTCAGAACATGATAAAGCAGATAAATGGAAATGTGCCTACCGGGATTCAATTAAGTGGGCTAGTTGGAGAGTTTATTCCAGATTTCCCAGCTAAGCTGAAGTGCAGATATTGTGTTTTTTAATGGCTGTCCTTCACTAGCATTTTATCTTTCTAATTTTATTTTTATTCATGACAATTTGACTTGAACCTCAAAATTACCATCTCAAATTCTTTTATTCTCATGATGCCTCAACTTTTTAGAAGCATCTACATTTCATCAAATCATAATATGGGAATGGGATGAATGTGATGAATCATAGCAAAACTATAGTTAATTTAATCTTCCCACTGTATCTGTTATTAACTGAATATGTTCACAGATAATTTGCTCATCCTTTTCCTTTGAAGGCTCAATTGCTATCATGTAAAGGAAATCACTTTGTCTAGTACAAGGATAATCTTAGCTCTCCATGGTTCATTAATTGGGTATTGAATCCCCATTTTGAGACTAATGAGGTGCGGCAGGATTCATGTGCCACAGAAATGGAGTGAGGAGGGAGGAACTAAGGTCAAGGAGGAAGGAGGAGGCCAGATTATCTAGGGCCTTGCTTTTATTCTGAGACAGGAATCTATTGGAAAGATTTGAGCAGAGGATTTAATACACGAGGAACTCAGATGTTAATTTAAGCCCCTAAGAAGAATGAGGGATAATGTTCCCCTCTGTAGAATTCACCAGCACTAATCCCACCTGCATACCCATTTCTGTTTAAAAATTCAGTAGGATGGTTGTCAAGCACTGCATTTTAATCAGGGGAGGAGTGGATAAGGGACTGAATCTATTGCCTGTGAACGTAATAGTGATTAGACAGGGGAAGAGAACCCCTGTGTCTTTAACAGAATTTAGAAATAAAGAAAAATATCTATTCAGAAGATCAATTGATATATGTGACAATTTTTTTCACAGTATATGTAAGAGTTAAATATGATTAACATACAGAATAATGAAGTGACTTATAAAATCATTAACAGAAATATCTTATCAGGTAGCAGTGAGACAACTTCAACAAGAGCAGGCTGATACCCTGAAAGGAGGATCTATGTCAGAGTCTTCACTAGAAGTTTCATCAGGTTGTCGCCTTAGTTTAGAAGAGGAGACACGGAATTTAAAGAAGGAACTGAATCAGAACATAAGTCAAGTACGAATGAATTTGAACATATCAACAGTCAATCTATAGCTGTTTAAATAATATAAAGTGTTTTAGGATACTGATTTCAGTGCACAGCATCAATTTTGTTATAATTTAATTATTTACTAGTGCACCTACTTCTTTGTTTTTGCTTTTGCAGTACTGGTGATTGAATGTGGGCCTTGTATGAGCAAGGTCTGTACTCCACCACTGAGGTACATTCCCAGCCCACTTGTGCACTTTTTTTAAGAAATCTTAAACTCTGACTTTCATTCTTGCATTTTTTTCTTATAATGTCAAACATCTTTCCTTAAACTGTTTAACCTTAGGAAAGTTGAGAACTATACATCACTCCTTACACAAGTTGAGAGACTCAATTTCTGTTAAAACAGTACTTTTTAGTGCCTATGTCTATTGCCATGGGGAGGCAAGACAGATTAAATCAGAGGAATTCATTTAATGGAATGTTCCATGGAATTGTATTATTTCTTATCTTCATTTTTGTGAATGGATACAGAATCTGTGTATGATTATTTCATGGTTTTCAAGATAACTTGGACAGAAAGGCCATTTCTCCAAATATACAAATACTTTAGGTTAATACTGAAATTATTGGAAAAGTTAAGAATTCCCTTCATTATGCTTTTATTTTAGACATATTATAAAAGAACAGAAATATTAAGGTCATGTCTACTACTTTAAGAAAAGAAGAATGAAGAAAGTTAGATTCTTGCATTAGATCTTTTAAAAAGCAACTTTATTGAGATATAATGGACATACCATACAGCTCACTAATTTAAAGTGTAACGGTATCTCAGCATATTAATTGAGTTATATAAACATCATCACAATCAAGTTTAGAACATTTTCATAACCTTGAAAAAAAAAAAAACATTGATTCCCTGAGTGGTCACCCTTCTTGTTCCTCAAAGTCCTAGGAAATCAACAATCCATTTTTCATCTCTATAATTTCTCTGCAATGGACATTTCATATAAGCCGACTCACACAATATCTAGTCCTTTCTGACTGCTTCTTTCACTTAGCATAATGTTTTCAGTATTCACCTGTGAAGCTATATACTAGGACATCTGTACCCTTCACATTCTGAAGGGAATTTGAAGTACTACCTCACTTCTTTCTGAAGTCTTAAGAGAGGTTTTTTCAGTCATGATCTTGGCTTCATCTTTGGACCATGATTCCTAGCAGAATTGTGGATTTCTTCTTATCCGGAAGCCATTTATTTTAGCATTCTTTGGCAATTTGACATGTGAAGAGACTACCAATGGGAAGCAAACATTTGCACCTGGTAATTCTTGGGTCTTCATATTAAATGGTCTTTCTTTAGCTTATCTCTCACGTCAGTTTTACTTTCAGCTGCTATATAGTAAGAGCTCCCTTTCCTCCTGATTTCCATACCATTTTCTTCACTAGCACCTGAGCCCTTCTTGTCAGTCTCATTAAGGACCACCAGGCTTCCACTAAGAGTCCCTTTGAAGACTTTTGGCTTTCTTTTCTTCTTTGCTAGGTCTTTTTTGCTTACACTTAACCCCTGGTTCAAATAATCCTATATTATTTTTAATTACATAAAATCCTATTTAGTATTACTATCTGTGCCAATTACTGATGTACAATAAAACTGCCACAAAAGTCGTTGTCTCAAAGCAATGTTATTGTCTCAGTCTGCAGTCTAGTCAAAGCTCAGTTCAGTCAAAGCTGATTCATCTCTTCTTCATTGGTATCAGCTGGGGTGACTTGAAACTGGGGATTAGAAAGACTTGCTCACTCACTTGTCTGGAAGTTGAAGCTGGCTTTTGACTGGGCCTTTCACTGGACCCACCTACATGAGGATTCACCATGGGCCTTGGGCTTCCTCACAATATGGTGGCTGAATACTGAGGGAAAGCTTCCCTAGTGTCAGGTAGAAGCTGTATCACATTTTGTAACCTAGCTTAAGAGGTCACATAGCCATTCTACCACATTCTATTCATTAGAATCCAATTACAAAAGCCAGCTTACATTCAGGAGAGGAAATTTCATGGGAGAAATTTCAAAGAATATTGACATATTTTAAAACCATCACTCTAAATAATTAGTATACTTAAAAGTAAGCATTCTTTCCAAGTCAGTACTACAAAAATCCAACAAACCTTTGTCATTGTTGTTGTTGTTTAGTATGTTCCCTAGCATTATGGGGAAAATCATAACATTACAAGAAAATGCTATTGAATTAAGTCCTTTCTATTACAAAAAAATATAGATGATGTCACTTAAACTTTTATATTAGGAGATGTCATTGCTCCTTACCAAGAATCATTATTTATTAGAATGCAATTCAAAATAACATAAAACATTTGCAGTTTGGAAAATGGCTTGTAACATTAGACTGTATATTTATAAGATTCATCAATTAAAGTCTTTTTAAAGTCTTCTCTTAGGAGCAATTTATGGGTACAGGCTTAAACACCTCACTGTGATGACCCTAAAACATTTTTTTGAAATTATAGGGCATGAAGATGAGAAGACGAGTAAAAGACTTGCTACTAAAAGAGGTGACTCAGAGTCATTTTCAGAAGTAAAGTTATGAAACAATCAATAGAAAGGCAAAAAGCTAAGATCAAGTGTAAATACTTTGTGACAAGGATGGTGAATGTAAAGACTATGTTTTGTGATTCCTAATAATTCTAACTTTCTGAGTCATTCAAGGGAACATTCTCAGAACCCGATTATATTTTATTGCAGCTGTATTGATGTCATAATTTGTTAATTGGTTTTGTATTAATTTGTCATAATTTGTTAATTGGCTTTGTATTCAGATATTCTCAGCATATTTCCTTCATTACTAAATCCTACCATTTTTTTCCCATGCAGATTAAAGATGAAGCTGCATCTTCAAAGTATCTACATCTGGATGCACAATATCAGTGTTTCCAACAGCAGTTATTATCTTTGCAAAGTCTACAAAATATATGTGAAAAGCTAGAAAGAAATCAAAACAAGTGGGAACAATATATAGTAGAAATCTCAAGTTATATAGAAAACAGAGTAGAACAAGGACAAGGAGCATGGCATGCAGGGGACATCAAAAACCGAGTAAAACAGGATTTGGAAGAAAAACAGAAACAAGTAATTTTATTTTTTTTGGTTAATTTATTTTGCCTGGACTGTGCTTTGGAATTCATTTCACTGAAAACTATATTTTGAATACTACACTGTGTGTCCTAAACATCCCTCAAGGGATGTAGATTTCTAAAAGAAGATGACATTTGTTTCACCCTTTAAATATTTCAATTTCCATCATAATTATAACTAAATTTACCTATCAGAATATTGATTTTCATCAAAGAATAATATTTAAGAATCGTTTGTATAAAAAAGTAGGAGGAGGAAAAGAAAATAAGAGGTATAGACTTATACCATATTCTTTTTTTTTATATTATACCATATTCTTGAATTAAATTATGTTATTTAATTTTTTGAAAAAAATCTGAATTGATTGTATTGCTTTGAATGATCAGAATAACATAACAATGATTCAAGGCTGAGGATATAGTTGCGTGGTACAGCTCTTGCCTAACCTTATAGACACCACATCTTTTTTCCATATATTTCAAAGTTTTCTCTGAATCATTGACTCAAAATTAAGGAGATAAACATAGAATAATTGATTGGGTTATAATTATTTTTAAAGTATATGCTTTAATTGTTCTTTAGACACAAGCACCGGCTCAAAAAAATTCAGAGCAGTTACAACAGAATAATTATGCAACATTAAGTCAGATGGAACTCAGAATTCAAGATCTGGAATCTGAGCTGTCTAAAATGAAAAGTCAAAATTATAGTGAAATAGTGGAAGAGGAATATGAAGAATTCTATCTAGGAGAACCCACAATTATAGAATCACTGTCGGCTGAAGTAAAGAAGTAAGTTGAAACTTGAGGAAATAACTTAAGCTCCTTAATTTGTCTCTTAGGCCTAAGTTTCAGTGAGACAGGTTTGTGAGATTTGTAGGATGCAAAGGCTAATCAGACAGTATAATTTTGGAAAGTAATGTTAGTAAATAACTTGTCCAGGAAGTTTATATTCTCCCCTTTTCTTGCATTTCTATGGCTTTCCCCACTGCTTAATTTTCTCATATTCTTAACCTGGTCTATTAGTGTTTCAGCTCAGTGGTTTTGGAACTTTCCAATCAAACATTGACATTGTTATGAAATTGTAAGTATTCCTTTAAGTAGAAATATTAACAAGTTTAACTTATTTTAAAAAGATTACAGCTTAAGTCCTAAGGGTCAAGTACCATTGGTACTAACCCTCTAGACACTTTCTGGGACTGGGTAAATCAACTGGTTTTGGTTGTTGTTTTTGGTACTATCCCTGGATAGTGCCTGGAGACACAGTGTCCTCTACAGTTTTTCCTCTCTACATTAAAGCATACTTGTGATAGATACAAGGGAAGATGATCACGGGGATAAAGGGAAGTATGATTTCCAATGTGGCTAAAAATAATTCCATGGTCAGCGCTAGGGTGAGTGTGAAAAACAAAAAGGGCAGGTGCCTCTTCTGATGCCTTGGTAACAATGAACTCATGGTCGTGGGATCTGTTTTAATTATTTTTGATCACCAACTCTGTTAACTTGTTCTGCCCTAGTGATTGTTGCTCTGAATTATTTCTCAGTGTCTGATGCTTAATTTTTCCTGGTAAAGGGTAGAATGCACAGAAGGTGACAACAGATTCTTATAAATACCTTTAAGGGATGTTTTTTAAATCCCTAAGCTAGTTTACTGAATATAACTTATCTTTAGTTTTTCTTTACTTTTATTTTCTAGTTATATATGTTTAAGGAGTACATGATGTTGTAATTCACTTCAAGATAGTGAAATGGCTATTGTGGTCCAGTAACTGAAGGTACCCATCTTCCCACATAGGTGCCCTTTAAATACAAGCGTTTCTATGGGCTGCCTCAGGAATCTTGCAAAGGCAGCAGTGAAAATCAAAAGCGCGAAAAAAAAACAATATCGCACACACACACAAAATTTTTTTTTTTTTTTTTAGTGGGGAACCCCCTAGAAATAGGTACACTTCTTTAGAACAATTTTAAAACTACAATTGTATACACCTTATATGCTCTGATGAGTTTTCAATGAGTCTTTTCAAGACTCCATTTAATGCGAAATTCCATTACTCTTATTTATTTAAAAAATACAAGTAATTTAGGGGGAAATTGGATACTAAGTATGTGTTTGCCTTTTGCAGTCTTCACAGGAGAAATGAGAGGTTAGAGGAACTTAATATCAGACTTCTGGAGGAGAAACACCAGCTCCAGACTTTACGCTGCCCTCTTTATACAAGGCCTGTCCCAGAGCTCTCTTGTGTTAGAAATCATGATAGAAGTCAGAGACTCAGAAGAAGTCTTAGTCAAAGAGAAAATGTGGTAGTTCCCACCCGACACCCACAGCCTGCAAGGAAGAGCACAGAGGACTACCTGGCTGAGGTTAGTTATGTTTATGCTTTGGGTTTCAGATTTCTGATATAACTCTCATTTTGACTTTGGTAAAATACTGAGTCGTTTATCTGACTTATGCGTGTTAAGTGAAAGTCACAATAATCTGTGTTAAGAAAGAAGAGAGAAACTTGACTGTTTTTTTAAAAGTCCCTGAAGTTCTTATTTTCAAGAGATACTCATTTGAAACTGAACTGGGTCTTTTTTTTTTTCTTAAATGCTTCATTTAAATAGGTTTCCAAAATGAATGTTACTGCCTGTGACTAAAGATACACTTTAAGAGGCCTTGACTTCACATCTGTGTGGTCTTCCTTTGGCTGCGCTTCATTGTACTCTTAAAAAATTCCCTGCACCATCCCAAGTCTTCCACCCCTAATCATAATTCATATTGACAGTCATCACTTTACCACATATGGATGTTGAGAGTGTAAGGACATGGCAAGTAAATACTTTATATGAATTAAATAAACCTGTTGCTTTATGTATATTTGTGGGGTGGGACATGAGTGTAGGGATCAAACCCACAGGTTTACACATGCTAGGCAAGCGTTCCATACCCCCAGCCCAAGACTAATTTTTACCTTCATTGGTTTGGGTATATTACTGACACTAGGAAAAAAATTCTATTCTATTCTTATTATAAATGTGGTTGTTCAAATACATCAAAGCCATAACAATATTCCTGAAACTTTTTACATGAAAAAAAAAAATGTATCTCAACAGAAGTCACACCTCTTAACTAAACATAGACTGCATCATCAAGGGAGTGATGCAACTCAGAACTTGAATCACTTTTAATCATTATGCTTATTTTGCCAAAGGCGCAGAGTTAAACATGTTTTTATATTAGTTTTATGCTCTGTAATTCCTCTTGTCTCTATTCCATTTTATCTACTAAACCAAATTCCCACTAGACACTTTATTCTTTGAAAAATCCAGGTAATATTTCAATTTCTTTTCTTTCATTCATTTTTTCACAAGGCCTTTAAATATATGTATGGTTCTGTACTTAATTCTTCAGCCTCTCAAGCAACCAGCTGTTTCTCAGTTCTTTAGGACAAAATACATGTATATAATATTTACAAACTTATAAATGTAGCTTCCTTCATACATTAACCTATTAGAATTTTATATTGAATTGTAGTGGCTTAAAGGGCAAAGTTAATTGTTTTTGTTATATTTGTGTGCATACTTATAATGTTTGAGTGTTCTTTAAAATGGAGAGTGATAACAAATTTGAATTTTAAAATATTAGTAGTTTCTAAAAATATATTAACTGTGGAAGATATATGACACGCATATGTCAAATTGATCTTTAAGAAAGAATACATTATTTTACAATCTATAATCTCAAGTACCATTTAACAATAAACTGTCAATAATATTGTTGAATGAGCAAACATATTTACTGTGTTTTGCTGTTATTGATTTCCCTGTACTTCTGATTCTAAAATCTTCCTTTCAACACTTCCCATCTTTAAAGTAGGAGATGTTTCATAGAATATACAGAAAGATGTTAAAGTCAAGGAAGAAGAAAACACTTCGGTTAGTGTTATATAGTCATCTTTCTTGTTGGGGCTCTGCTGAATAAGCAGCAAATGACTCTCCTCTTTCCCCTCTTAAGTTCAGAACAGGAGTCAGGTGGATGGAGACAACACTCTAGCTTCATTAGTAACCCATAACAATTAATGGGAGGATGTGGCTTTAGACATGCAGGCTCAGCAGGTTTCTGAATACCTAATCACAGAAAAGACTCAGGCACACAGTTCTCAGTGAAAGAAACCAATGTTTTCTCTTATGTCCCAAAGCAGGCCACTCACTGCAGAGACAACAGCAGATCTGAATTCATGTTACTGTGAGCAAGCATATTTTTTTTTTGCATGAGTCAGGCAGAGCCAAGCCAGTGCATTCAGTGCACTTCATCTATCTAATTTCACCAATGAGGTCAATCACCTCTCCTTTTGATGAAGATAGAGAGGGTACAATTACTCACGTGGAAACTTGAGGCCAAGCAAATGAAGATTCTCCTCTCATTTCTGACAGTTTTAAACGATCATTCAAATTAAGCCTGCCTTTTATCACCTAATTAATGAAGAGAATTTGGCCAGAAGTATGCTGATGGTAAAAAGAAACCTCTGTGTTTTCAATTTTGCTACAAATAACCCACAACATGGATAATTCTTTTGTCAATTGAGGTTGGAAAAAAATGAATAATTCTTTTAAGGAAGAATTTTCTCAACTTCAGCTTGCTTGGTTCAGCTAAAGATTTCTCCTTCAAGTTTGTTGTAAAAACCATGTGGTTTATAAGTTGCATAGACTTAACTGCTACCAACACAAGTTATGATATTAATTTTTTCTTCATTTTTAGTCATAGCTTTAGAAATCATCTTTTAGAGAGTTCTTTTAGGCTTCGACATTACTGAGCTCTAAGACAAATTTGGACATATGCATTTTCTCTGAACTGTATTTAAAAATCTGTGTATGGTTCCTAAATATGAGAGAATCTGCTGTAGAATCCCAGGTTCAGGAAGACCTAAAGCCTTTCCAGGCGTGAAGCCAACTGGCTGTGTGACCCAGCCTAGCTATAATCTCTCTGAGAAATTAGGGACTTTGTGACTTTTGTGTCTTTTAAAATTATTTTTAAAGAACCGAATTTTTTAAAAGCTTTTTTTTTTTCATGCAACTATAATATATAAAACAGAAAGAAGCAGAGTTCTGTGACTACAGAGGGATGATGCAAGTAAAGGTTCTTCAGAGTCACACTCTGAAGGTGTGACTTCCTTATGCCTTCAACCTACAGTGGGCTCTGTGGATCCTTTGAATTCTGTAAACACAGTTTACAAATGACCAGCTATGAAAGAATTCTTTGGATAAGCTAACAGTCATGGTACATTGCTCTATTGTGTTTAATTCACTCCCCTTCTTCTGTTTTGAAAATGGAAAAGAATAGATGAAGTTACAAATGTGCTCCTCTTGGTAAGGCTGAGCTCCAAGTTTCCTTTATGAGCTAAACCAAAACCCACAGCTAGAGATAAATAGAAAAGCTGTACATCTTATCTGAGAAGACCACATTTTCTAAGTAATATATCATTCTGCTGATAACATTTGTTGTTTAAGCTAAGTAATGTAATATTCCTTCTTTCAGATGGAGCAGGCAGTGGACAAAGGCTTAACTAGAGCACTAGAAGAAGGTATGTTGCCAACACTCATAAACTAAGTTTAGATTAGTTGATTTCTGAAATAAATTATAAATAGCAAATGGCATCCCCTTCTTTAGTTTGGTTGATACTTAATAACATTAAATATTTTTTTTACACACATCAAATAAAAAATGTGAAAAAAAACCCTGATGAAGAATATATATATTCTTCATTCATTCATGTTCCATAGCTTTTAAAAGTCTCTAAAGGTCTGTGTAGCCTTCTGGCTTGACCCTTTCTTCACTCTGCCACCACTATGATACTGTCAGCCTTCACACAGAACTATTCTTGGAAAAGATCAGCATCGTTGTCTTTTCAGATTTATGGTCCAAAACCTCCATCATCTAGTAATACTTGGCCAAGCATTTTAAATCTCCTGTCATTGACTGTCATTGATTTACCTTTTGCCCTCAGGAAAAGTTCTGAATTCCTCATCAAGGAATTAAATTTATTTGCATCAGTGGGTTCTTGTCCAATTTCTCAGCCTTGTTGCTTGTCACTCACCCTACTCTTCAAATAATGCACAACATGGATAATTCTTTTGTCAATTGAGGTTGGTAAACCAAGTTTTTTTTGGAAAAATGAATAGTTCTCTTAAGGAAGAATTTTCTCAACTTCAGCTTTGCTCTAGCATCTGGTCACACAGATCTCTCATAATTCCACAGGTGTTTCTTCACCTCTTGCTGTTTGCATGCCCTTCTTCCCTCTTCCTGGAATATTTTCTCCTTATCCCTCAGGTATCGACTTATATGCCACCTGCACCAAAGGAACCAATATTAACATAAGACTGGGATAAAAGTCCCCTCTCTGTGTTCCAGGTGTGCCCTGTTTTACATCTATCACATCATCTAGGATTCTGAATGGAAATTGCCTGTTCATCTGTTTTTTTCAAATTATGTTATATGATTGATGAGGAGTAGCTTTTCTTCATCTTCATCTTGTCATTGCAGTGCCTGTTATAGTACCTGAGCACATGGATGCTGAACTAATGAAGAATGGGGAAAGCTGAAGTTCTGACACTCAGCCATAATAGTTAATTTGGTGTACAACTACGGGCAAATTATGTTACGTCGTAATGTTTATTATAGTCATACAAACATATTTCTCATTATCATAAACACTGATAAAGTTCTCAACTTTCTCTTTACTGACTCATGCTTATTAACTATGAAATCTTTGAGATTAAGATCATAATTGATTTTTTTCTAGTTACTACAGAATTTGAACCTGGATCTGCTAGATCTTCTACACCAAAATCCAATAAGTCAAGCCAAGATCTACTTTTAGAAGCACAACAAGAATATGCAAAGATTTTAAAGAAAAAATATATGATCTGAAAGATAATATTTTTCTTATTGAAATGTTGACATAACTGTTTCCCATTAAATGCATGATATGAATACTTTATTGAAGGAAAATGTTTGTATCATATAGGTATGATTAATATTCATAAAATATTTGCAATTGTAATGTGCAGAAGCTTTTTAATTTGCTGCTGTGCCATTTATTGATTCTTGGTCTTATTTCTTGAACTGGGGGAGTCTTGTTAAAGAAGTTGGTAACTGTATCAATAGGTTAGAGTGTTGACTCTGTATTTTCTTACAGTAATTGCAAAGTTTCTGGTCTAATTCCTAGGTATTTGATCCACTTGGAGTTTACTTTTGTGCAGAGTAAGAGATAGGGATCTAGTGTAATTCTTCTACATATGGATATTCAGTTTTCTCAGCACCATTTGTTTAAAAAGCTATCCTTTCTCCAACATGTATTTTTGGCAACTTTGTCAAGTATTAGGTGACTATAAGTATGTGGGTTTATTTATCTCTGTCTTCAGTGGAATAGACATTGGTCTTCATGCCTGATTTGATGCCAATACTATGCTGTTTTTGTTATGTTAGCTCTGTAGTATAATTTGAAATCAGCTATTGTGATGCTTCTAGTATCTCTCTTTTTGCTAAGAATTGCTTTGGCTATTCCATATATTTCATTATTCCAAATGAATTTTAGGACTGTTTTTTCTACTTCTGTGAAGAATATAAATGGTATTTTGATGGGGATTGAAATGACTCTGCATAATGCTTTTGGTTGTATGGCCATTTGGACGATATTCATTCTGCCTATCCAAGAAGGAGGTCTTTCCGTTTCTAAGGTCTTCTTGATTTCTTTCTTTAATATTATATAGTTTTCATTGTAGAAGTTTTTCACCTCCTTGATTAGATTTTTTTCCCAAGTATTTAAATATTTTGATGTTATTGTGAATGAGATAGTTTTCCTGGATTCTTTCTCAA